CATCATCGACAATCATGTTATGTAATATTATGCATGCTTTATAATATTCTTAAGCACTTCAAATGTCCAAAACGTGCTGGTCCACACACTATAGCAAATCGTGCTTGGAGCACTCCAAATGCTCGCTCAACATCATTTTTTGCTGACTGTTGAGATTTTGTAAAATGTATTTGTTTATTGTCTCTTGGAGATGAAATTGTTTTAACAAATATTGCCCATTTTGGATATATGCCATCAGCAAGGTAATATCCTACTGTATAATCGTTTTTGTTGACTGAGAAATTGACTGGAGGAGCCTGACCTTCTCAAAGAAAAGCAAAAACAGAAGAGCGTTCTAGTACGTTGATATCATTATGAGATCCATGTAACCCAAAAAAGGCATGTCAAATTCAAAGATCATATGAAGCCACTGTCTCCAAAATAATTGTTGGTTCATGGATGTGACCAGAAGACATACCTTTTAATGCTCTTGGATAATTTTTCCATTTTCAATACATACAATCAATGCTAGCCAATATCCCAAAAAACTCACGATTGCTACCAATTGCTAATAATCTAGCAATGTTATCGTTGTTTGGTGACTTGAGGTATTCATCAGAAAAAATTACTATTATCGCCCTCACAAATCCTTTCAAACTTTCTATTACGGTGCTTTCGTCAATCCTCACATAATCATCAATAACATCTGCTGCAACTTCATAAGCAAGAACCCTTATGGCGGCTGTCATCTTTTGAAGGGAAGACAAGTTAGTAATTTCAACAGCATTTTTTTTTTTGACAAAATATGGATCATAATCTTCTATCATTGATAGAATACAAAGTAAAAGGGCTCGATTTATTCGAAACCTTCTTTGAAATAAATTTGGGGGATAGATAGGCGGTTCAGCAAAATAATCACGATACAGTCTCTCGTGTCCTTGAACTTGATTGCGAAAAATAACTCAATAACCTTGAATTGAATAACGACGTACACCCGAGCTTTTCTCGTTATTGAGTTTTTTTATTTCCATAACACAAATTGTTACCATCTCCAATTGATCATCGGAGTCAGAATCGTTAATAATCATGTTCATTGGAGGATAGCGAGCCATAATATAAATATAAAGAAGAGTGGAATGCCAATAAATATATTTGAGGTGTATGACAATGAGAGATGAAAGATTTTATTTATACATATCAAAAAATAAAATCATTGCAAATATGACCGGTGTAAATATGACCGTTATAAATTTTAAAATTTAAAATTTTGAATTTAATGAGCGTTGTAAATGTGACCATTATTAATAAAAATCAAAATTTTAAACTTTTACTGGCGTAACGTAACACGTCAGCATGTGATGTCATCAATGTAGTGATGACATAACATATTATATAGTATTTTAGTTTTTAATAATTAATAGTTAGTTAAAATTAATTAAAGTAGTTAGCTAAAATAGATAGCGTTGTTGAAGTGAATTTAAAAAAATGATTAGCTAAGATAAATAATATAATATTTAAATATATTTTGAGTAACTATTTTAGCTAACATCGTTGAAGTTGCTCTAATACCGGTAATAATTTCGTGTGCAGCTCCTCTACTGTTACCCAAAAACAGCACAGGCTGCTGTTAATTTATACGGGGAAAACAAATAAGTTTACTAATTGAAAAATTAAAAATCAAAAGTGGCGCAAAATAAAAGAAAATATTGTTCTACCGCTTAGAGTTGGATCATTGTAATGGCTGCAGTCCCTCATATCTTCTTCTTCTCTGTCCAACTCCTACACCGACCTTCCCAGAACTCTAACTACTACCCAAACATAACTTCTTCCTTTACCTCTCCCTCTCTCTCTGTCACCCCAGTAATTGTGCTAATGGTTCATTAATTTGATTGTCATTGTAACTTCTTGATTTGGTTATACTAATTTACATTGAATTCAATCTGTTTGAAGAAATGTCTGGCTACATATAGATATTTAGTGTAACCTTTAGTTTTAAGAAAAAATTCAGTCCCCATCTAGAAAGAGGATCATACTCATAATGTTGTTGGTTGACTCACGATTAAGAATTTGATGTAAGGGTCATCTGAAGAATAGGATTTGGATCTAAATGTTGTGGGTCAATGCGATTTTCACTTATATTAAAAGTTTTACTGCAGGTTTTTATTTTATCATGCGCAATATTTTGGTTTTCGGCAGTCCCAAGCTTTCTTTTGCCTTAGATATCCCAAAAGTTGAATTTGGGTTCTATTTTTGTTTGACTAACTGTGCTTGACGCAGTTCTCCATTCTTCTTTCTGAGTTCTTTGACTATCACTTGCAAATTTCCTTTATAATCGAAGGAGCTGAAGCAATCGAACACAAACATGTGCATCACAAGTTTCTTATGAAAAATTTTTGGGCAAAAGAGTTCAGAGACTCTCAGAAATGAAGATTGGCAGGGGAGAGTGAAGTGAAGAGAAAGGGCCTACAGTTACTTTTGGGGGAATTTTTATACAATGCCACACTTTTTCAAAACGATGTCGTATAAATTAACAATAGGATGTGCTGCTTTAGGATAACAATAGGCTGGCTGCAGAGGAGCTGCACCCAATAATTTCTCTTTGGATAGATTTGGTATGGATAACATTTATCAATATCAACAAATGTTATTGGCAAACAAACACACCATTGGATATAAAATAACGGTAGTATTACACTCCAATCTAACCCAAACCATTGTCCTTAGTTAAACCCACCCCCAAAAAATAACAAAATTTATAATATAAAACATAATAAGTTTCAATAAGTCTATCCAAAAATAGAGCAAACTTCAATAACCCTATCTTGCAATCTCAAATTGACTCATCCAACAGTATAAGCGGAGCCAACATATGTCAAGGCGGGGCACATGCCCACCCTCAAATTTTTTTTCTTAAATGACCTATATGTATTTTAAATATTTTTTTAAATATTTTTAATTATGTTCATCCTATTTTTTTGACACATCAATTACTATACACTTATATCAGATGAATATAAATTTTTTGGCACATTTTGGACAGGTTGTATAACTATCTAGATAAATTTTAAATATATTAGAATTATTTTATACTTTCTAAGACTCTGCGTAATCGATCAAATGAGTTATAAATACCTATGTTATAACGTTATTGTGTATATAAAAAATAATAAAGTTGTTATGTAACGGTTTCTAAGTATGAAAAATTACCAGAGTTAATTCTAAATGATTTTAATTAACCTATATTTTGTATTAAAAAAAATATTACCGTTTGTATATACTAGGCATACCGAATTTTGGTATGTTTGGTTTAATAAACTTTTAAGTATTAAATAAGATGTAATTAAATATAAATTATTGTCTTCTTTCTATCGATTGGTAGAAAAAAATTCAATTTGTTAAAATATTCGCGCTCACATTAACACATTTTTTTGACTATGTCTTTGTCTAACAGTTACCAACATCATTTTTAAAATCATTTATATTGAATCATATCTTTAGACACAAATTACACCTAATAAAGCAAAAGGCAAAACAAAACAAAACAAAAATCACCAAAAAGAAGAAGAATTATTTGCTACCGAAAATCACGCTTGAAAAATGACACAGACCTACAAGTTCTCTTCTCTCCATCAATGTTGTCATTTTGGGACAGCACGAAACCTTTGGCACAAACCCAACTGTCAAAATCTCAAAATCTCAAGAGCCCAAGTTCTCTCTCTCTCCCTATCAATGTCGTCACTTGTGATTAGATTATGAAAAATATTATTTAAACACAATTTATTAATTTTATTTATTAGCAAATATATTGTAATTATTAAATTGGTAATAAATTCTGATTAATTTTAGAGTTCATTGTCAATCTAATAACATTAATTCAATAAATTAATAAATTAAATTAGTATATAAGATCTAAGTTGCATTACTCATTAGATTATTTCAACTTCAACTTTTGAATTTGTTATTGCTCTTTACTTGGCATGTCGGTAGAACCAATTCAGTGTAGGGTTACGAACAAAAAAAACAAAGAAAATTGAGCGGAGGTTACTTTTTCCTCATGATAATATCTTAACCATTGACTTCTTAATTCATAATTATTCATAAATTTTCATATATATATATATATATCATTATTTGCATATTATATAACATTTCTTTGTGTGTTAAGGTGTTTTTTGATGCGGGATTTGTTTCGATAAATGACAATTTTAAACTTAGGATTCAAATCGTCATTAACATGTCACACTTAAATCACTGTATAAGGATTATAATAATATGAGTAACGTTATTGAAACCTAATTTATTGATTTAATTTACTTTGATTTTTGGATTAGTTGTGAGTTCCATCAAATATTGAAAATCATATCATTAAATCAACAAATTATGTCAAAGTTTTAGGTTCAAATAACATTTTCTTAATAATATGTATTAAAAATAGCCGCCCTGCCCTGGTTTAGAAGACAAAACCAACCCAAACCCTCATTCTCAAGAGAACCTTCTTCTTGGAAGACTCTATATCCCCCCAATTCCCTCCCCACCTTCCTAATCCTACATGTAATTTCCTGAAAATAACTGCCACTTGCCCACCTCCATTCACGGGTCCTCTCTCTCTCTCTCTCTCAATATGTATCAACAAAATGTTTCTACAAATAAAAGGAGATGTGAGTTTGGTGTCTATCCCAATGGGACCTACTAATTTGTAACATATTGATACTTTATATTATTCTACCATTTATATGTTCATCATACATTTTTTTTTTATTTTTTTTCAATGATTAGGGGTGTTGAAGTTAACTTCTGCGCATCTTGACTAATTCTTTCTCCAGTTTAGTCAAAAATAAGTCATCTACGTCGAGATTAAGAAATTCATGAAAGATAAATCCTTAATGGTCTAACCTTGACAAAATTGAAATTTAAGACATATAAAATATGTCTTCCCTAATCATGCATAGCTTATGCCACGAAAACTAGTATTTATATGTAGTATAATCATGCCCCCATCCTCATAACCATCGACTATAATCGTTCAAACAACATTTTTTTAAACCTCTCAAGTCCATTACAATGCAAACCTCTTCCCTTCATTCTCTCTCACTTCCCCCACGTCCATTTTCCGTCCATTTTCCTCACAGAATAGTGGGACTTGGCCAAAGAAAAAGGGCTTTCAACTCTGTAACAGCACTTCAAAGAGACGAATACAGTAAAGATCATAACTATGGCAGGCTTGTTGATTCAAGCATGATTGTTCTCAGACAGAGAATTCATGAAATGAAGATGTTGGAGAAGAACTATGCGTCGCCGCCATTGTGTGGGTGGATGGAGTGGGAGAAGCGGTATTACAGAGATTATCATGAAGATGTGTTTGGAGCAATAAGGTTTTTACAGTCATTATTGATGGAGACCAGGCCTAGCTTGGCTTTGGCAATGGTGACTCTTGTTTTGTTAAGCATGTTTAGTTCTATTGCTGCTGTTGGGTTTTATGTAATTGACATTGGTTTGGGGATTTTAGCCGGGATTCATCTTACATCTGTAACTATGTGAATCGACTAACAATAACTCTTTTCTAGAAACCCATGTCTTGGAGAAAATTTTCTGTAATCGCTGCACATTAGACGGAATGTTTAATTGATGGTCCTGCTTGGCTGTGAGATTGAAGTGTTTTTATCTGAAGTAGGTATGAGTGTATTTTTTCCGGTAAGTAAATGCATTCGTTCCTTTAAAGTTTACGATTATCACAACTGGCTAAAACAAATATTGCCATTTGATATACATCATCAAGCTCCAAAAAGAACATTAAGAACACAAAACTGGAAGGATTACTGGTGCATTAACAGAACTTCTAACAGTTTAATTTCTAACAATATAAGTATGATCTAATCCCATATTTCTTAAACTTAAAAACATAGGCACAAATGCATAGAACTCAAATTGCTGACTAATTGGAAGTGGTATCTAGCTTCCACTCCTAGAAAACAAGATCAGTTTGGGGGGATCTCTTGCATTAAATGCTTATTGAGTTTGAGAAACAAAAATGAGAAATAAAACGCACCATTTTTCTAACTTTTTTTAAAAAAAACCCGCACCATTTTAGTTTTGACATCAAATTGCTAACGGTTTCAATTTGAGCCAAAAATCATAGGGAGTTATGTGTAGATTGTTAAAGACGAGGGAGAAAATGTGACATTGTCAATGTGTTGATTTAAACAAAATTAAATCCTCATAATCATCATTAAAATCTTCATCTTGAATCCTTCGGATAACTCTTGATCTCTGAAATATAAGAGCTTCATCATGTTCTTCCAACTTCTTTTCATTTTCTTCCTGAAGGAGCTGATCAAGCATTGCATCTACACTCACAATTGCATGTCTTGACTTCATGGACTTCAATTCGTCCAGTGCAGTAAAGAAGTTTTTTTCTCTTTTTGAGTCCAAGGTTCTATTCTCCAAAGACTTTGATGGTCTAATTTATGCAAGTGTGTAGCAGAATTCAGGGCTCAAAAAAGGAGAAATGAATTAAAGATTTATTAGGAATGATAATAGGGATTCATTGAGACGTCTAGTTTGAGTTACTAGGCATGTAGTGGTAGATAGTCGATCACAGTGACAACAACCATCAATTGAAATCAATAGATAAGAGATTTATAATAGAAGCTTGGCTAGTCCACTCAAATGGAATATTTTGCTCCTGGGGGGTTTCTATTATTTGGGGAAGAAGATTACAAGACTACAAAGAGTCTATTCACAGATGTTTAGATCCCTTCCAAAGCGAGGGATCAGTCCCTATTTATAGTGTATACAAGCTTCGCATAATCAGCGTGATCCTTAGGTAGCCATCGTGATCCTTGTGTAATAGTTGTGATCCTTGCGTATAAGACGCGAGGATCCTTGCGTATAAGACGCGAGGATCTTTGCGTAATCAATGTGATCCTCTGGGAGTTGTTACGACTCATGTGCTATGAATCTTTAGCAATTAGAGGTTATATGGCCAAATATATATGGAGAGTAGAATAAAATGTTGGTGGATAGATAACCTATTAGTGGTGTATATTATTTGGTAGATGACAAATAAGGAGAAACAGGTTAACAACATCAAAGGGGCCAATGCCATGTGAAGTTTTGGCATTTGTTATGCTTTGTTCTGTGTATTAGAAGAAAACAAATGTCTCAAGAGTTTATAATAAAGAATCAAGGCTAAATGTGGCAATGAACCTGTAGAATTTGACAACTTGTAACAAGTTCCACTTTTGCCAAATTTTGTCAATTTAATGACTTAAACTACCCATTTTACCCTTAAATGAGAAAACTAATATAAGACCACTAATTTTTTTTAATCTAAATTGGAGCTTCAAATCTATCAATCTATCCAAAAAAGTGACCAAAATTTCACTTAATTTGGACAGATTTTCGAAAATCTTCTAGAGAGAATTTGGGGCAAATTTTGGAGAGTGAATAAAGAAGTAACTTGTGGTATTTATAGAATTTATTTTTCATTATTATTCTCACCGATGGTATAAACCACACAATTATCATAATAACCCTTTATCCACTTTACCATGAATACAATAAGGTTAAAAAAAGCCTTTTTGCATAGAATATGTCATCTCCCATTTACTTTTTTGATAAGTTCCATTTAATCCATTTATACAAAAATAAACATGATGTTGGATAGAAGTGCAATACCAGTAATAATTTTTCTTTGGATAGATTTGGTATGGATAGCATTTATCAATATCAACAAATGTTATTCGCAAACACCCCATTGGATATAAAATAACGGTAGTATTACACTCCTATCCAACCCAAACCATTGCCCTCAGTTAAACCCACCCCCAAAAAAAAAACAAAATTTATAATATAAAAAATTACAGATTTCAATAAAATCTATTCAGAAACATAACATATTTCAATAATTCTATTCAGCAATCTCAAATAGACTCATTTAATAACATGGATGGAGCCGGCATATGCTAGGGGGGGGGGGGAGCACATGCCCACCCTCAAATTTTTTTTCTTAAAATTACTTATATGTATTTTAAGTATTTCTTTAATATTTTTAATTATATTTACCCTATTTTTTTGGCACATCAATTACTGTTCACTTATATCAGATGAATATAAATTTTGACACATTTTGGACAGGTTATATAACTATTTAGATAAATTTTAAATATATTAGAATTATTTTATACTTTCTAAGACTTTGCATAATCGATCAAATGATTTACAAATATCAAAATGATAACATGATTATACACATAAAAAATAATAAAATTGTTATGCAACAGTTTCCAAGTACGAAAATTCACCGGAGTTAATTCTAAAAGATTTTAATTATGTCATATTTTGTGTAAAAAAAAAATGTTGTCGTTTGTATATTAGGCTTACCAAATATTGGTATATTGAGTTTAATAAACTTTTAAGCATTAAATATAATGTAATTAAAAATAAATTATTGTCCTCTTTCTATCGATTGTAAGAAAAAATTCAGTTTGTTGAAATATTCGTGCCTACACTGACACATTTTTTTGGCTCCACCTCTGTCCAACAACCACCAATATCCCTTTTAAAATTATTTATATTGCACCATATCTTTAGACACAAATATGACTGTTAATTAAACTGAACTACTCGAACTTGACTTGAGTTCAGTTCGGGTTCAACTCGTTTCAATTCGGTTCATTTTCTCAATGAACCCAAACTTGAACAAGTTTTTAGGCTTGTTTCAAAAATAAACCTTACAAGTTCAGCTCAAACTCAATAGACTCGACTCGTTTATATACAAATACTCAGGTTCGGCTTAGACTCGACTTATTTTTGACGCGTTTAAACTCAAAACGAGACGAACTTGAATAATTTTTTAAACTTGATTATTAAATAAATTTTTCAAGTTCGACGTGAACTCGAATCAAGTTCGTTTAAGAAACAGCCCTGGACATGGATTACACCTAATAAAGCTAAAGACAAAACAAAACAAAAATAACCAAAAAGAAGAAGAAATTATTTTTGCTACCGAAAATCACGCTTGAAAAATGACACAAACGTAAAAGTTCTCTTCTCCCGATCAATGTTGTCAGTTTGGGTCGGCACGAAACTTTTGGCATAAACCCACAGGACTTGTTTAGATGAATTTTAGGGTGGAGTTTAGATTGATTTTTTAAAATTTTTTTAAATTTAAATCTCTTTTTATAAAAATGGGATTCAATATTTAATTTGATTCATACATATGTTTGATATGTAACACATATACATATAGAACTCACGAATATATCTTAATTTTTAATTATTAGTTATCCTGTAAATGACTATTTTACTTTTGATAAATTTAATTCATCCTGTAAATAACTATTTTACCTTTGATAAATTTAATTCATACACATATTAAAGAATACAATTATCTTTTAGATCTTTAATCCTTTATCCATCTTCTCAAATCCACCCACCCTTAAGTTTGATAAAATTCATAATCATGAATTTAATTTTTGGATAAACTACAAGGCAAATTTGTAAACTCGAAATTGAATTTTTCATACAACCAAGAAATTTAAAAAATTTTTAAACTATTTTTTTTAAACCCACCGTATCAAGTCCCCATCCCCTTTGCCAAACAGCCCCAAATGTAAAACTCTCAACAGCCCAAGTTCTCTCTCTCTCCCTGTCAATGTCGTCACTTGCGACGCTCTTTACCTAGCATGTCAGTAGAACCAATTCAGTGTATAGGTTACCTTTTCATCGTGATAATATCTTAATCACTGACTTCTTAATAGGTAAATTACACTCACATCTCTTTAGTTTTATTATACGGATACTCTCTCATATTTCAACAATTACATTGAGACCCTAATGGTAGACAGAGTTAACTATTTTAATAAAAAAACTATTTTATCCTTCTGTTTAACACAAACTCTAACCCAAACCCCAAGCCCTATCCTTAACCCTTCGCCTCGTCACTCTTCTCTCTTTCTCTCTCCCCAACCCATCTCTATTTATGCGCGTATATATATACATACACAGACTCAGTCTTCTCTCTCTCTCTCTATCCCTCAACCCATCAAGCTCAATCTTCTCTCTCTCTATTCCTCAACCCATCTCTGTGTGTGCGTGTATATATATATACAATACATACTCTATATACATATACAGAGACAGAAAGAGGGAACCTGACAACAAAGTCATCTCTTTGTCGTTTATAATCACTGACCATCAACACCACAACAAAGCCATCACCACCAAAACCCAAAAAACTCAAAACCCAATCTGAGATCGATATTCCAAATCTGAGTTTTCCATGGTCAAAATAAAGCAAAGAAAATTTTCAAATTTTTGAGATCGATTTTAAAATTTGAGTTTGGTGGGTTTGTGTGGTGAATTGTGGCAGTGGACTCGCGGTGTTTGTTGGATTTCACTAATGGATTGTGGCATTGGACTCATAGTGTTTGGTGGATTTCACTGGAATGTGAGTTTGTAGCGATGAAAATTGATGGTTTGATGAGTTTGTGATGTGGATTTGGGGGCAAATTGGGTAGGTTTGT